ATTTTATTTTATTTTATTTTATTTTATTTCATTTTATTTTATTTTATTTTATTTTTTGCTTGAAGTTTTATTTTGTATGATCTATAGCAAAGATCGGCCTAGACTTACTGATAATGTTCTAGCATGCGCAAAAAAATTTATAAACGAGACGTGTGAAATGCTTTACTTTCAAGAAGGTTCTGTAAATGTTCGATGACTTTTTTTAGCAGATACATGAAGAATACTTCACTACATAGGTTGTCAAAATATTAAAGCACTACATGATGTCGGACTTTTCCATGGCAGTTAAGGTAATTAAGTTCCAGAAATATTTCAATAGATATATCGTAATATCGTGATATTTCCCGCATTTTCTGTCCTTATATGTATTTGATCGAAATCGCGATAACGTCGCGATAACGTAGCGATAACGATAAAAATATTTCACGCAGGAATCACGCCCGCGCCTCATTCGTAACAAACTCATTTCATACATAGTTTGCGGTGATAAAACTAATACATTTTCTCCGCAAAGTAAGCTTGAGGCAAGAGTAAAATGCGGCAGTCAAGAGTCCAGTAAACGTCAGGGAAACATTTGGTCAAGATCTGGGCATATGAGTCACGATAAAGATACGATAGCGATAAGGATAACGTAACGAGAGTGGTGACGGCGAATTTCGCCAGATTGTACTTTATTCGACTGACGTAATGATTATTACATTTTTGGGATGCGTCAGAGAAATCAGTATTTCGTGGAAGTGATGCTATACATCCGTAATAATAGATTCTATTAGTTATTTGCTCTGTCATATCGCGGGAAGTTCACGTCTCATTTCAAATAAAACTGCAAGCAATCATGACAAGAAAATGAAAAAAAAAAAGAGAGAGATTCTGCTTCCCAATTATTCTTGCGCTTTTTGGCAAATGCGTCTTCAAAAAATCCAACATGGACTTAGCTGTTCTATAGCTCACTCTCAGGGATAAAATAGCCAGTTAAGATGAATAGTTATTTTTGAAAATATAATCTCCAAAAACGGCCAAAACTGTAACTCTTAGACGTATTGGACCGGAAGGTCTAAGCGGTGAATTTGAATGAGACGTACTCAACGAACGTAATTCCATCACCGCCTACGCTTAGATTTGGCTGTTCTTTTCTCTGTTATAAAGACTGTAAATGCAGATGCTCGTATTTTCAGCGAGATATAAAGTGGGCTGGCCTAGGGGAATTGCATGCTTTTTGAAATTTACTTCCTCCGAATTATCATTATAAATATGTGTGCGAACGCTAGATTTTTCAGTAGAAAAACTACCCTTGCTTATAGACCACCTAGCTCGAAATTTCAGTCTCTCTATAGCTTGACAAATATTCTCTTATCTAGCTACTGTTGCCAACGTTTTAGCACTTGATATTTTGAGCTCTAAGTTGCTTTAACGGTCTTATTGTCTTCCTTGAGATCTTCATCGTCTTCCCTTTAATTAGTCATTGGTTGTTGGTTCGTCTTTTCTTTTCGTTGTCTTATCTAAACTTTTCACTCGCCCGGATCTTCCTTCTGTTTGATATTGCTTCACAGATTTCAAGAGGAAACCATGGTTTATGCAATCAAGGTAATCTTACTTTTTCTCGTGTTTTATCGTAAAAAAATCCCAAAATCACTATACTGGTAAAAATGCCGTCTATATTACTGAGACCACAAAGACTAGTTCAAAAACTTTTTCTAAACTTTCTATATCCCACGATTTTCAGTTTTTTGTTTTTGTTGTAAATATACATTTGTCAATTTTCTTTTTCTCCTTTTTTATCTTAAACAAACAATACATGATCACACCATAGTTAACTATGATCACACAATTACGATAAAACTGAAGATTTGAAACAATTCACTAAAGTTTCAAATATTCCACGATTTTGTATGACTTTCTTTTACAAAGTTAACTACTTAGAAAGACTTATTAGATCAAGTCAGAATACTACATGAAAATGATGAATGAATCACATTTTCGATTTCCCGCTAAACGCCCACGACATATTAAACCAACTGTTAACAATTTAAATAAATTTTCTGACTAAGAGCACAAAAATTACGACACAATATTTATCTAAATTTTTATCCTTATCGCTCTTTTCATAACTTCTAAAATTATTTCCCGCAAATAAGATTTCAGAGACAGCACTTAGTAAAAAGATGGGTTTGGCAATAAACTTGAAGCCGAAACGTTGAAGAAGTAGTGTCTTTTCTTATGTGCATGCGTGTGTGTGTATATGTATGCTTGATGATTAATATTTAAAATGAGAGCTAAGAGCTTATTGGAATAGTCGTTTCAGACCCTTAAAACGATTTTTTTTGAGCGAAAACTGCCGGAAATACAGGCTTAATATACCGGTAGTATTAAAGAGGGTTATATGTATTTCAAGACAGAAGAAATATCAGTTTATTTAAGAACATCTTTGTTCTCTTTCTTAAGATTCAGTAGCTAAAGGCGATTTGATAATGATACGATGAGTGGGGCGGTTATCTTTGTTGGCTCATAATCAGTATCCAAAAATGAACAACTCATATATTGTTTCTCGCGTCACTTTTCTATCTGATAATGCTGTGGTAAGAAATAAACAGAAATGAGGATTTAAAATCATCTTTTTTCAGATATAAAATATGGCCATTTTTATCACCATGGAGTCAGACTAGAGCGCGAAAAATCTCTCTTACGACACGAAAAACTGATTAACAAAACCGGTAAAAAACCGGGTCAATATCTTCAATTTCGCGGGGAAAATTTCGCGCGAAAAAAAACTTTCTCGGAAAAATATCCAAGATTTACTTATATATTCATATTTTTGAGAAATTCTCGTTCTAAGGATGATAAATGGATGCAGCTTTTAGCTTAAAATCGAAGAGAGTAAATCTTTTAAAAGGTATGTCTGATCGGCGAAAATTTCTGATGATCGCTTGTCAGGAATGTGTGGGTGGTTATGAGTCGACATCAGCCGACGGTCCCAATTCATTCATTCGAGATCATTTGACCATGTGTGATGGTAAATAGCAGAGACGAGAATAAGCCGTAAAGTTACACATGAACGCTTTAGTTTCAAAACAGACACTACTCTTCATATGACCAGAATTCATATTATGGTTAAGGTATGTGCTTATTTGGTTGATTTGATGAGTCAAATAGAGTTTATTTCTGGCTCGAAGTTTCGCGCCTTTGATGTTGTGAATGCAAATGTTGAATCGTGAACTGGTTGCTATTGAGTTGTAAACACAACACTACGGAACGGGAAAATTGTACATTTTAACCCTTCTAGGCTATATTTAAAACGACCTTGAGTTAAAGTATAGTTAAAATTAAAGGATATATTAGTTTTCGAGCCTTAGAATGAAATACGTTTTGGGATATTGAACGTAGTAATTTTGTCTGACTTCGACCAACTGGTGAATAAACTTACCACAAGCTAGCCGTGAGCGGTTTTATGAATGAATTTGTAATCTTCGCATTAATATAATAAGTGTAGCATCATCTCAACACCGAATAAGGATTGATTTCTTTTTATTCCCCTGAAAGAAATTGAGTGGGAGTTTTGTAGAGAAAATTGGGGTCATTTGGGTGATAGGACCGTGTTGAACTCTAATGAAAGTTTAAAGCCCGGAGAAATGGAACTTCGTAGTCAGCTAATGTTTGGCTACGTAGTTTAACTCACATGACTTCGAGTCCACGTGGGGCAGGATTTTATTTTGTCGTTGTAGAGAGAGATAAAAGAAAAAAATATATTGCCTGTTAACTCTTCACTGAACACGGAAGAATCGGAAGCAAAAGTGATTATAAAATGTAAACATTCGATCGACTCGCGATATGATGAAATCAAACTCACGCTATAATATGGACACCGTCTACCACACTTGTTCGATTGTGGGCAATATTAGGAACGTTCTGGTCTGCTGTGATTTAAAAATGGAATTCCATTCACTCTTTTACAAACAAAAGTCTCTAAAGACTGCTGTGTAGCTTCCCAGTGGGGTAATCTAAGTTTCTTTTCATATGACAGTAGTATTCAAAAGCACAATGTTGACGTCTGAACCGACACCGCTGACGACAACGCACACAGTGGAATTAAGGAATTTCCGAATTCGTCGTTCTTCGATGCCGGAAACTTAAACGAATTCAATAAAACGGCAATAATTATAGTGAAAATGGCCTCCGAGGGGGCTTACTGACAACTAGACAGGAAGTCATATTGAATTTTCATGTATATACGATGTCTAGATAGGCACAAATTAGCAAAAACTGTAAGTGGATGCCAATTCAACCTGTCTAGGGATTTGTTACGACACAATTAGAACTTTGCCAAGTTAAAAGTTTTAATATTCAAGAATGGTCACCATAATAATGCAGTTTTTACACACCTTTTAACATTCCTAACCTTACCTTTTAGTTTATTTTCAAAAGCTCTAAAAATGTTTGCATTTGAAACAATATTCTCCAAGGATTTGAATAATTTGGACTGTGGTTATAACCAGCGCATAGCTCGACTAGTCTTATTGTCTAGTAAACTCCTTAGTGATCTCAAAGCATTTCAGAAATTCTAAATATGCAAAGAAATGCTTACAAGTGGAAGCTTTGGACCGCCCCAGACTTTGTCGGCTTGGTTTTCATAGCTTTTTGAAGCTTTTATATTAATGAATCCTTAATAAGCATGAAACCTGCCAAATGACTTGTTAACGATCTAAAAGTATCCTGTGTTGGCGATATGGAGTGGCGCCAAATAATACAGCCGGAAAATCCACGAAATTATTTCTAGTAATTGAAAAGAAATTAATGTTTCTCGGAGCGTGAACTTCGACTACTAAAGTGAGCTGAGAGCATAAAGATTATTCTCTCTTTGTCTCCTTACTGTACTTTTGTCTAACGTCTAACTTTTGGGTAGTAAAGTAAAGAACAAAAATAAGGAAGTACTTGAGACAAAAAGAGCAGAGTACGAGACTTCATTCTATTATCATTAACTTCCTTACGGCTGACCTCAAAAATGTATTTTTTTCTTGATAAAATACTTCTATCAAGTAGTGCCAGTGTGCTTCCAAACTTAATTATTTTCTATTGCGCTAGGTGAATTCGAATCAGCCAAAATTAGAAGTACAATGAATCGTATTCGTGCTCTTTGGACAGCCATCTTGATTGATTCTACTTCAGTTTTAAGAGTTTTCCGGATTCCTATCGAGAAAATACTCCTTGGATTTTTCTAGAAAAGATATCTTACAACATAATCATACTTATCAATAGCTTACAGTTTAAGAAGAAACTGCCAAAAATAAATAATTATAACAGTATATCCAAAATAAGAGTGATAAAAAATGGGAAGACAACTTATTATACTTTTTCCGATAATTTGAGCATGGTTAATTTTCTGGCAGACTTTTTAATAAATTGACTTTAGGTAAGAACTTGCAAGAGTTATATTAAAAATTACCAACAATAAATTTGGAGGCGACTTTATATCGCAGTAGTGAGCTAGCTGTCAATCAAAATCATTTATAACATTTCAACGTGACGTCATATGTCATTCATTTAGATGATTGACGGTTTTCACTGCGGTCTTCGATCTGCCTTGTTTGGTTTATTAGAGAAAAGGCATTGGCAAAGACAATATGAACGAATGAGAATTGAGTTCCATCCAAATATTTAAAAATCCTAGTCACGTCTCCCTTTTCTTTGACTAGAGACTGAGCTAAAATCGCGGTATTGATTTTTCAAGGACCAATAAAAATGGTAGGTAATGCAACTTCATAAAAATCGCAGGGTTTAGTCCGCATTTCAAGGCACTATGCCGTTTTTAACAACGATATTTTGTTTTCTTGTTTCGTGAGCTAAAATGTCTTGTCCCTTTCTCGTTTGAAGAAACCCTGCGATTTGATTGGCTGAGTATCGAAGCGTTGGCTAACGTTATTACCCTTGTTGGACGACAATATTTTCATTTTTACTTGTTTGATGAAGACTAAAGATGTCTATTTTTTCCTCGAAGTGTCTTTCCCCTCTTTCGAATCTCCGTGCGACTTGATTCAGCTCATATGGATTGATATGACTATAGAAATGGGTCAGTGATTTCACATGATTCCAGGAAGTGGAAACTGGTATAACAAGAGAGGGTTTAGTTGGATTTTTAGAAGGAGAACTAAACACGAAAACAGTAGTATTTGTGTTATCAAAGGTGTTATGTTTCTTATCATTTTTGTGGCATTAATTCCTGGCCAACAAGGGTGTGCACGTGTAACCATTAAACCACCCTTGGATTGTTACTCTCTTTCAAAAGAAAAAACCTTTACGAAAAGGTACATATACTATTATACTTGGGGAATCGGGAAACGCGTTATCACCCTATAGGCAGAATACAAAACATAGAGAGCCGCTCACGTAGACTTTATATGAAAGCAAATCAGTCGAAAATTAAATTGGCCAATTTGAAAATGGAGGTCATCTCCTATGTTATAAATTGATCGTTTATATCTTTCTAATAGGCTGTCGCTAGAGACTAACGTAAATTCATTCACACTGTTGGTTAGAAAACCTGAGGGGCGCGTTCTATTTTTTTGTTCTTTTGTCATTACTCTTCGAAGGCGAAATGACAATATGCCTGAAAAAGAGGATTTCTCCAAGTCACGTTTTTTTTTTGTATGAATTCATCATTTTTACTCAGTTTAGAATGTTGGTCGCTTAGCTATGACAACTGGTCGATTAATGATATTTGGTCGGTTAATAGAGGTTCTGATGTACCCGATTTGTTTTTATTTTCAAATTAAACAAAAGGAATATTAACCAGAATAAAATGGATTTCTTTTTAGATTAGGGAAAAAATAGAGACGCAAAACTCACGGAATAAATCTCTAGTTTTTTCGTTGCCCCACGGTGTTAAGGTCTACTCTACTGCGAAGCCAAACAGGTATCTGAACGATCTGTACTATAGGGGTTCATGTGGGTCCTATGAATCTACGTAAGCTTTGCACGTGGGATCCAACTTTTCTTTAGTCATTTTAGTCATTTTTCGTTTATTCTTTCTGAAGTTTTCTTTCTCACGCTGAGAAGAAACCAACACCTGCAACTTGGTTCATTGAGTTTATCTTACTTTTACCCCTCGTAACCGTAAAGAAAACCTTCTAGAAAGACAAAAAAGCGATTGCGCACGTACGTAAATCTCTGCGTTAATTTGTTTTTTAAACCAACACTCCAAGATCACTACTACATAGGCCTAAAAATATAAACTCCTTGTATTCACGTTATGGCATTGACGTGATGATCTTCAAAAAGCGATAATCATTAAACCAATCCATGCGGGAAACACTCGTTACACTCGTTGCTCTATCGACGCACTTCCTGTCAGCTGCTGCGTTAACTGATTCATTCTTAAAGCCGAGGCAAAACGTGCTAAGAGACTCGCCAGCGACTGAAGGCTTATTAAAAAGATGTTATCAGGTATGAGTGACCTTAGCCGAAGACTAAGTGTTTCCTATGTCTGATTTGTTTCTAAATAATCCCGTGGCTAATGAGCCTTGATATATATACTTAACGCACCTTGCGGGCTAGTTATACTAGATGGGAGATAACGAAGATTATACAGGGGTCTTTTGGCAGTCTTCATTCGTTTGTCAGTAGGAAATGAAATTCAACTGTAAAGCAGATTTGATAAGTGGTTTTCTATCATACTAATCTTGAATATATAAACTTATCAAGATTGGGTTTTGAACTTTCGGTTGGTTGATTTTAAGATCAAGTAGGGCGCGCAAATTTACCTCCCCCGTTACTTAGAAATAAGCAGGTATCCTTGTGTCACACGTTGCATTTTAATATTAACCACATTGCGGATCTGAATGACTCAATATGCCAAGATACTAGTGTAACCGTGCATGTCGTCCCTATATCGTAGTAATATGTGATTTAGATTTAGATTACGAGAACAACGCTATCTTGCTGTCCTCCCTCTATTTCATGTATCATTGACATTGCATTAACCAACGCGCCCGACAATCACTCCTACCTTGAACCTTGAGGTATCGTATTGTTATCGTATTCTGATATTAAGTCAGACGATATCAAGCCACTAGGAAAAGAGACTTAGATTCAAGAGCTGTCTGTAAGAAATAATTATGAGCCATTAACATGTAAAGTGACGTCAATCAAGCACTGTATGCGGAAAGGGGTTTTTTGAAACGCTGCTTTTCTTCCTGATCGAACCCTGGGGCTAACATATAATTATACTAACAATAAGAGTCGTATGAGTGTGAAACGATATGGAAAATCCATAGCCGTACTGTAACTGTATCGTATCTTACAGTAGCCGTACTAACTAAGCGTTGTTATTGCATGAGTAAGCGCAAAACAATTTGAAGCCATTTCAATGTTACGGTATGTCGCGGTGCAGTAAGATAGTGACGTACGTTTTCCAGTCGCATGATAACCATTGAACTCAGTGTGGTCAGTCCACAGTATTTTGCTTCGTCATGCTTGAAAAAGAATATTTCATTAAACTAATTAGGAACTCAAAGACAGTTTTATAGACTTGTATAAGTTGTTGGCGGGGTTAAATGCGAATCATTTTTGGAATCATCAGTTTTGACTACGGAGTCGTAAAGAAGGCCTTGTTGATGGTAAGCAATACTCCTGAAGAGATAAAGTCTTGAAAAAAAAATGACTAGTATTTATTTTAAGTCCGTTCTTTTTTTCTATTTTGTCGTATTTGTTTCTGTTAATCACTCAAGGTTGTTTTGAATAATAACATGGTCGTATAAATACTACTATTACTAATAACTATGATGTATAAGCTATTTACGGTAACTTTACCGTAGTTTGACGTAAGTGTTACAGCGTGCTATTTCAGTTCGTAATACGCTCCACTAAATTTGACAGCCAAAAATTTAATTTTCAGTCAGGACTGCCAACAGAAGCGTGGTCGTTCATGAATTTATTCTTGCGCATTAATGCAGACGTTTGATTGATGTCTGTTGCAAGTTTGGGAAACCTATGATCGCGTGTGACGGCAGGTGCGCGAACAGTTACGGTTTTCGTATGAGTAGGAAAAATACGCTACTTTTACGGTACTGTGACGGCGCGCGAATAGAGCGGTTATCGTATGAGTAGGAAAGTTACGGTACTGTTTACAGCATGTGTATAAGATGCGATTGCAGTAACACCGAAATGTCTTCCCATAACAATGGTTTATATATAAGTGCGAGCCATACGGTACTGAATGCATGTACATGGTACAACATGACATAACATTGAAATGGCTTAATACAAGAATGGAGTCCACGAGTGGGAGGCATACGGTACTGACTGCATGTACATGGTACAACATGCCATAACATTGAAATGGCTTACCACAAGAATGGAGGCACACGAGTGTGAGACATACGATACTGAATGCATGCACATGGTACAACATGCCATAACATTGAAATGGCTTACCACAAGAATGGAGTCATACGAGTGGGAGACATACGGTACTGACTTTGTATATCGCACGACATGCCATGACATTGAAATGGCTTCCCATTTATTGTCTTCCAGTAATTCATCCAACCACAACGCGTAGTTTTGTTTACCGTAAGATACGGTACTGCTACGAATTCGTTGGTATCGTTTCCCACTCATATGAAAACCGCTCTGAGCGTTAAGTTGTTGTTCAAGTTTCGTTTGAGACTTGAACTTCCCTTATCAACTTTTATACGGACTCTTTTCTTTCATATTTATTTCAAATATATTAAAAATTTAAAGGTGAAAACTGGGACTTTACCATCTTATATGAACCTTTTCTTCTGAATAACGTCTTTCCTTTGATAATGATGTCTTGCAAAACATCGAAACGTTTAATTTGATTTGTTCTGATCTTTCCACAGTTCAGAACAAGTGTAAATATATATATTCTGTCATCCCTGTATCTGTTGGTGTCACGCTGGCCCGTGTCAGAGGCAGTTCCTATTCAGAGGAGAAAAGAGCCTGGCATAAGCCGTGGGTCCAAGAATGATCTAATGTTACCCAGCGAGTCTGGGGTAGTTATATCTCGAACCACTCCCGAACATGAGGTATGTGATATCTTTCGACTTTAGTAGCGACAATTAAAACACTTAGACACACACAGGTAGCCCAAACTACATTTTATTGCAAAATATATTCATGATACTCGGACGATAAGAAACAGTACCTACCACAGGTAGCCCATATGTAATGTCTTCAGATCCATGTCAATCCCATAGGTAGCCCAAGCCACCAAATTCTATTACATTCTATTCTACATATTGCAAAATATATTCATAAGTCTCGGGCCATAAGAAACAGTGCCTACCACAGGTAGCCTAAAATATCTTGAGATCCATGTCATTCCCACAGGCAGCCCAAACCAAGTGCAATAATCAAAAGCAATGTCCGGTTGTGCATACTTTTGGTCCACTAAAGCGCGTGTTATTCACTGTAATTCTATATTCTAGGTTTTCATGAAGGTTCTATTTCCGACGCCCATTAACAAGAACTTGCACTTAGAGCCTGTCTCATTCATCAGACGTGGGACTCTTACCAGTAAATATAACTACCTGCTTTACATCAGACCTGATGGATCCGTGGGAGGCACTAGTAACGACAAATCTAAGTATGGTAAGTCCATACAACAGGGTAGAACTAAAAACGATGCTTAGGGGAGAGGAGGGTGGGGATATTTTCTGCTGTTAATATGGGATTAACATGTGGAGACCCGTCTAAGATGCAAAGCTTTACCAGGGGAGGGGTGGGGAGAACTAAAAAGGGTTCAGTGTTAGGGATATAGCTGGTTTGGGGTATCTTTAAAACTTAACTCATGGAACTTAACAGCGACAACTTCAAAGTCTTACCACTGGGGGAGTAGGGAAGGTGAAAGGACGGTCAGGGGTGGTGTGGGAATGTTTTATTACTGTTCCGTTTCTTTCCTGTTCAAATGGTATTATTATGTGATACAGACCGGTTCAAGAGTAAACAACAATTTATTCTGATAAGATCTGGTTATCTCAGGTTGTCTGGCGGTTCAGACGGATACGATTGAGCTTTGCTTTTAGGAAGTCTGAGAATGAATGAATTTTAGTTCCACTTGGTGATAAGCATTATTGATTGGGTGTCATTAGTTACTTCCGGTGCTAGAGTGCACACCTTTTTATGATTGGGAAGCCATAATGTAGCTAGCTGTACCTTGTCCTACCGTAGTCGTAACCACGCGTTGCGATTGGATGAATTACTGAAAGACAAAGCATAGGAAGCCATTTCAGTGTTACGGCATGTCGTACATACCGTGTACGTACTGTTAGTCGTCAGTATGTACCACATGTAAAAAAAACTAATAATGTATATACATTTGCCATTTATTTTCAGTTAAACTGGAATTCCATTCAGTAGATCACGGTCATCTAATGATCCTAGGGGTCGCTACCAATCGATATTTATCCATTACAGACGATGGACATCTTATTGGACAGGTACGTCTAGTGTACATGAATTTATACATGAGAGACCTTTTATTCCTGGAGTCTGTCGACCTACCACAGGTAGCCCATCAAAAGTCCAATAAAGAAACTATAATTGCTGGGTTTCACTTGACGTCATCTCGACGTCATTTCCTGTTTTTCGTGCGGATTGTTCGTCAGCTGACTCACAAGTTTTCAAAAGGTTTCCTCCTGGCTGACGGCAGTCAGTGTTTGACCACCATTTGGAGCAGAGATAATGAGATTCAAAGACATTTATTAGCTGATTAAAGCCCAGCAATAAGGGAGCAATTTGAAGTCATTTAATTTCAATTCCTTGGCCAATAATTGCACGCATGTTTTGTGGCTCACAAAATTATAACAATGCTCTTCGGGGACACGGGAAACACGAAGAAGGGTGGAATGGACGCTTGAACTAACAGGTCATGTAACCCTACCTCCCTTAAATCGAGCAGTTGTGTCAAAATGAACACCAACAAATGGAAAGAGCACCTTGATATTAGTAAGAAGGCAACGTTTGGGGTTTTAACTTTTTTACATAACCGCTGGGTTTAAGGGTAGGGTCACATGACCTATTAGTGTCACCTTACTCGATCTATAGACCAAATTCGAAACTCGCACCGACTTGAGGCTTGAGTTGTGAACAAAGGAATCTGGCGTGATTCGTGACTTTTGAATCACGCCAGATTACTTTGAGTCACGCCAGATCCCTTTGTTCAAAACGTAAGCCTCACATCGGTGCGAGTTTTGAATTTGGTCTATCTTTAAATTAACCCACCATAACACAGGTAGCCCACAAAAGGCATATCCAAGAACCTGTCCTGGGATACTGGAGGCCCGGGGCCCCAATCGCCTAGAGACTCCAAGTGCTGTTACAGATTTCTAACACTCCATTATTTGTTTGACAGGACCAACCATCTTTAAACTCCGTGTTAAAAGAGGAGTACTTGCCAAACTTATACCAGTCTTTTAAATCTTATAAATATCAAAAAAAGAATTGGTACGTGGGAATCAAGAGAAACGGAAAACCGAAAAAAGCGCAAGACACCGATGAAGGACAAAAAGCCGTGCAGTTTTTGATTCGCTATGATGATGGCACGTGATCAGGTAGAAAGAAGTTAATCACACACGTTTTTAATAACATGCGCGGAATCGTTGCGTGACAAGACAGATCGTTGCGTGACAAGACAGATCGTTGCGTGACAAAGTATACCGTTGCGTGACAAGGTAGGTTTTGGTGGTCGTCAGTCTGGATGGTCTTTCCATGAAAGTGCGAGAAAGACACAGAAAACATGTCTAGAATGCCAATAACTTTTTCTGAAAATGCGAGCATGGTGCGCGCATTGTGGTCTACCTTGGGTATAAACATATTTTGTTCTTCAAACCGCTGTGTGTATATAGTGCTTATACCGAAGCTAGAAAACAATGCATCCTAAGATAGACATATATCATCCACACATCTATGGAATACCATTAACCATTTTTGAAAATGATAGCATGGTTCATTATGGTCTACCTTGGGTACAATGAACATCTTTTGTTCGTCAAACCGCGGTGTTTGTATAGATGCCGAAGGTAAAACACGATGCATTCCAAGATAGATATCCTCCAACACCAGATTTATGGCGCGCTCATCAAATTGCACTGTCCGATTCCGCGCGAGTTATCTAAAAACGAGTCTAATAGTTATTGATGTCAATTATGCGCTGTTTGCGCGCACGTTAATAAGTCGTTGAATTTATCAACCAATATTAATCAATCAATCAACCCGCGAAGAAATGAACTCAAGATGGAATAAAGTAGTAAGAATTTCCTGCAACTAGTTCTGTTCTTTTTTTCGTTAAAATTTAAAGATATGAAAAACAATTAATCATATTTTTTGTTCGACACGCAGGGAGTGAAATTTAAAAAATCTTTGATCGAAATTTTCCAAATATTGAATATGCACCACATGGAGATTTGATAAACTAAGTGCGGGAATTCTTATACTTATTCTCATTGGTCTAGCTAGCTTGTAGATAATGATGTCTTCTCGTGTAAGGAAGGGATAGCGCCAAGTTAGGATTCCCTTCACTAAACTAGGAAACAGGACCTTATGCAGGGTATCTTGGGGGTACCTGTTACTTCACGTTCTAACGAACCCTTCTCAAAAGTATCTGGCATGCGAGGCTAGCATGACAATACGAAAGAAATGCCACAAATTCCATCGAGAGAAAGTGTGATGCCCACGCATATATCCAAGTTCTTTTTGAGAAGGTTCCATTGGTATATTAGTATACTCTATAAACCTATCCGTAAATTTCTATTATTATTATATATATATTAACCTATTGAACTGATCAGTTTTAGGTCAGTATTGCGCAGATTTAGTGAAGAAAATAATTTTTTTACTCATTCTTGTACCAGGAGCCTACGTTTCTTCTGGCCTGCGGCGAAGAACGACAGTAGGAACGCAGGCTCTGGGTACAAGATTGGTTTGTACTATAGCCTTTCTACTGTGGGTTGTGTGGTCTGTTTGTTTCTCGTCCTTCGGCCATCGATCTATTGACTCGAAAGCCGTTCGGGCTTCAGGTCTAATTGTTAAGTAGATAAGAATTACTTTAATATTTGATTTATAAATACTTTATATTAATTTATGTAAAAAGTTATTTATGATAGGCCACTTTTATTCAATTTTCATCATTGTTCGTCGTTTGCAAGATTTACTTTGGCTGTGCCTTGATTGAAATTTTGCATAATATTTTGAGCATTTTCTGCGACCTCATCTCTAGTCCTTCGCTGTCTCTGACGATGAGGAAGACTGGAGATGAGGTTACTGGTTACTTTAGATAGGTACTATCCTTTCCAGGTCTCTCGTTCCTTTTGGTGTCAACAAATCATAGGAATGAATTTTGACTCGGAATTAGAGCCAGAATCCCTTTATGCGGATTATACAATAGTAGAAGATATCAAAATTTGCACTTGAGCTTAATAGCCAGCCCAGCGAGCTAGGAATCGGGTAGAGTTTTGAGAAAGAGAATTCCTTGATTCATCGCTTCGCAGGCTGGTATTCCGTGGAATACCGCCAACGTTATAACATGTTTAGATTGTAAAATATTACAAGAAAAATATTTAAACTTTGGAGCGAAAAGCTCCAACATTATTATATTTTTGTTCGACAAACTTGGAAAAAAACAACAAAATCATATATTTATAATAATATAAAGTAGCGACTGTGTCGCATTTTCATGGGGGTTAATAAATGCGTGTAAAAAACGTGCTACCCAGAAGTCTTTTGATCGCTCGTCACGTGATCCTAATCACGTAGTCTGGTCTTTACGCGCGGGTCGTTGGTTGTTGGAAGTTTCTTGAATGCTGTACATAGAAAAATGACGTTAACATTGAATCATATAGGAATAAAAAATAATTGATAAGGATCATCACTGAGAGAAATATATTTTGCTGAGATCCTATTGTTTGTAATTATAGCCCARATGTAAATATATATCTTGAAAAGCATTATTAATATCTTCAGATGTTGAAAAAATGTGCTGTAAGATATTTTTGTGATGTATTATTTACAATAAAATATGTTTGATTATATTTGTGTGTCCCTTCTACATTGTAGTTGCCTCGGTACTATACACCTGTCTGTCCCGCTCGAAGCATTCGATTTTCCCCGACGTTAGTTCTGTTGGAATATTTCTGTAACGCATTTAAGAATAACGCATTTAAGAATAACGCATTTAAGACTTTGACTTTTCTGATGAAGTACGTTTTTGTGTTGTTTTTTTTTTCTTTCAGATTTCCCTTCTATTATTTTTCTTATTTTCTTCTTTTGTTTGGTTTTACCGCGGTTACTGCCTTTAATTTTGTACAATTTTCGTCTGTTGCAACGCTGACCATTTTACTATAGTTGCCTCACATAGAAAAAGCTTGTAACAGTCCTACTTCTCTTTTTATGTCTTTTTTATGTCATCTTCTCCTCTCGGCTTTTAATTAAGTGTAGTCGTTAATTGTGCTTGAACTTGACTTTCTTTGATCTTGACCGAGTCATCTCTTTTGCCAAACCACTGAGCTTGCTGGTGCTACACACAATTGCAATGAATTATATCGACCCAAAATCCTTGTCAGGTCGATACAGGTGGTATATATACTATATACCTACCATCGTATTCAATATCCTAACCAGTTCATGGTACTATTAAATATGTGTTGTCTAATTCTTAAATGAGACCAGAGATGTGATATCCCCTAGTGTGCAACCACCCGCATTTACTAACGGACAGACAGAGACCGGCCATATGACCGCCAGCCTCCTGCTGCCATGTCGTAGCCACGTGTATTTCCCTCAAGGAATCCTAGGGCTAGTCACGTCTAAGATTTCACATGGCTGTGACACGGTACGGTACACAGCCATGTCATGTACCCGGGTCACGCAAAGAAACCGATTTTATTTGATCCTATCACGGATCGGATCAAAATGAAAAAACACTGTAGCGACCGGCGGTAACGGTAAGGCACATCATTACCGTGAGTTTAAAAAGAAAAGAAAATTTGCTTTACGGAACGACAACTTCCTTGATAAAGAAAAGACACCAGAAAGACAGTCAAGTGTCGGATTAATATGACGTCACCCTTTGACTGGTCTCAGCAGGGGGCAAACGTGACCTGCCTCAGAATTTTTAATTTCATGGAATACTAAGAGAAATAAATAATTTTTTTTTGTACGCATGGAGACAAAACTTGAATGGATTTTGCCCATCAATCTCCATAGCTAAAATCGTGAATAATAATTTAAGGTAATAGGGTATTAAGGTTTTACTTTGGTGTCCTTTTGAGTGTTGTGATCACGCTTAAACCTCGCTACCTCTCACTCCTTCACAAGCCTTCAGAGGGACGTCTTCTGTCGATGTTATTAAAATAAGCGTACTTGGTGTCCTTTTGAGTGTTGTGATCTTTGTAAAACACGCTACTCCGCACTCCTTCACACGCTTCAGAGGGATGCCTTCTGTCGATGTAATTTCTAAAATTCAATTCCCCGTGGTAGATCGCCTTCACCTTGTTTTAAGTCATTTTTACTTGCCAGATTTTTACTAAAGATTTTTTTACTTTTTAAAAATTAGATTTAATAATGCTAGCGCTATAAACGATTATAGAAAGTTTAACTATTCACTATTCTATTATTTCAAAAATCAAAAAAGAAAAATAGGAAAAAAGGAGCAAAAGCGTGAGTAGGTATCATGCTTAGGTCACCCATCCAAGTGCTAACCCTCTTCAAACGAGCTTGACTTAGTATCTCGGACAACGATTTATCCGTTGGACCACGGTTACAGGTGAATCAGCATAACAATAGCCGTGAAAACAATACACCGAATAGACTAGACTTTTTAGCAGTATTTTTTCAACCGATTCCGTGCGTGGCAGAGATGCAAGGGATTAGCCGATATGGTCTGGGGGCCGGCTGGTCTCTCCCCTGATGCTTTGGCTAGAACATTTTCTTGCGTAATTCGTACACCCAAGGGCAGAAGGATTTAATCGCCGTCAGGTCCGAAGTCCATACGCCGCCTCAGCTCTACGGATGTCTCGGGGGTATGGCACATTTGAATCGATTTTTTTAAAAATTTCTTTTGGTGTGTTCGAATCCCGTGTTATCCACATAAATTTTTTCTTTTTTTAATCCATTTTTTATTAGATATAAATCTTCAACAATAAGGCAAGCTTTTAAAGGAAAAAAAATTTTTTTTTTTCCGGTCCGGTATCCTAAAAAATCGTGCGCTCTGATTGGCTGTTTGAGCGGGCGGTATTTTGTCAGTATCTGCCCGCGCTCGCAGTCCGGTATCCTTTGCCGCTAAACAACAAAACAAAACGATTACAAAAACCAATTAAAAAAAAAAAAGTTTTTTACCGTCCTATAGAGTGCATTCAGTCAAACTAATGAATGGTGCACGTCACCTAAATTAGATAAGTTAGTTACTATTTTAGGTGACGTCAACTAAATTTGAAACTACGAGTAAACAGCTACTGAGATCAGGGGGGAAACGATGACACAAATGAATGTCTATTCACTCATTCTCTGTTTTAAACAACCCCCCGGATTAGCATGACCGTTTTTACTATTTTAGTTGACGTCAACTAAATAGTTATCTAAGTTAGATACATTTATCTAACTATTCAACAGTTTGACTGAATGCACTCTAGTCGGTCCGAATAGGTAAAAACTGTGCCCTCGGTCTTGAAAACGTACCTTGGCCTAACGGCCTCGGTCCGTATATTCAAGACCTATCACAGTTTTTCCCTATCGTGATCTCCTTGCCGGTAAATAACATATATATATGGTCATTTATAAAAAGGATATTCTTGAATATGGCCATTTGTAAAAAGGATACTCTTAAATATGGTCAAGCTTATCCTAAAATATGGTCATTTGAAAAAAGGATACTCTTAAATATGGTCAAGGATACTCTTAAATATGGTCAAGGATACCCTTAAATATGGTCATTCGAAAACGAGAATGGTTACCCCCATTTTTTATTGCATATTTGAAACGTCTGTGGTGCAATGAACGACTGCGCAAAGTTTGAGAAAAATTTCTCATTCTATTTCAAGGGATTCACCTTAGGAGTCTCTAGGCTTACGTTTACTGGACAAGGGTAAAGAGCATAGATACCTTAAAATTTCTGCAAAACGTCAATTAAAAGCTAAATAGCTGGATCATATTATTCCCTAGTATTTATTTTTCAAGTTTTTCAGTTCTTTAAACAATAAGCAAACTAAATATTTCGTTGAAATTTTCATAGATTCCGTGACTTTTGCGTGATGTGACATTCTAGCGTGACGTATTGTGGTGGCGGGAAAACGGCTCAAGTTCGATCTTGCCCGTGTGACGTAAGAATTTTCAAACTTCCAAAATGGCGGCGAAGGTGAGTTTTCTAAACAAGAACGAATAGTTCTATAAGTTTAATGGTTAAGATGCCAAAATTATTAATATTTTTATATGATTTGAGAAAGTACAAGGGCTGGAAAACCTAGCAAGGAACTCTAAAAAAGGATTTCACCGTTTTGGAAATTAAGAATTGGTAAACAATATTCGAGGTTTCACATTTAGACTTCAAGCTCATGTCAGCTTGGTTTTGAATTATTAGCAGAATCATACAGTTCTTAAGTTCAGTAGACCTCGGTCGACCATAGACCCCACAAAACTTTGCTCTAATTTGTACGAATTTGTTAGTTGACTTTTTCACGGATATATTACATATTTATGTTTATATTTTACTTGTCTGATGCACTAGGATGCTGTAGCTATCATACTTGATGTTGGGGTGTCCATGAATCAGGCCCCTCCAGGACATGAGACCCCACTGGAGACATCCATTAAGGCCATCAATATGATTATACAACGAAAGGTTTGATAGTACAATATGCTAGTTATATTTTGAAATATCTGAGATCCATGAGCTGGGGAGGGTATGTTATTATTTGATTATTTTGACGCATCTTGAAAGGCAGAAACAATGCATTGTTTTTGCATGACGAGAGGTTTTATTTCCCAAAGAAGAAAAATTATATTGCTTTGCCCAACAGTTTGGCCTGCTATGAAACCACCATTGTTGTTACCAAGAGAACTAAAATGTGAGGCCGAAGAATGGGTCAGAAAAAATTCTGCATTAACACTCTTTTCATTGATACACGCTGATCAGAGAGTCCCGAGAGGGAAATTGGGCAATATACTTCTGTCAGTGAAATCAATTGGTCGGTACCTATTTATTCTTTGCTTGACGGCAGTGTGTTGCCCTATTTCCCTGTTGCGACTGTTGTTTCGATCAGTGCATAGAAGTGAAAAGAATGATAATGAGATCCATTTTATCCTATGATTAATTGTTGATGTTTGAGCACTTCTCTAAGTTGCTATGGTAAATGGCCTCGGCAAACAATCTTCTGGAAGTGCTAACAGAAAAAATTCACATCCCATAATTCTTATCATTTTCACCTTGTTGTTTACCTTGTAGCTCTCTGGGTGACTGACTTTTTTGGAATAAGACTTATTATACTTAGTATGGTATATCCCAGTGACATGTATTGATGGTAGTGATATAATGATGCTTTTGATCATCATAAAGTGTTGAATGTCATTTCAGATGTTTGCTAATGCTAAAGATGAATTTGCCCTAATTCTTTTTGGAACTGATGGTAAGTTTTTCAAAATTTCTGGTTTTATTCACAATATTATTAAACAGGGCTTATAATCATTTTTATTAATTTTCGATAAAGACAATGGCCAGACACTGGACAATGTCCACCCAGAATTGAAAATTGGCTGGTAAAATCTTTGTCCTGCTCATCATTTTGACCAGTAGCATTGAGCCAAAAAAGAGGTATGACAGAGCTAGAACTAATTTGGCTGGTCATCATGACTGGCAACATACCAACCGTTATTCACCATTTTCCATGCATCGGTTCACTGGTCAAACATGACTTTCAAAGGATTATTCAAATTTGAACCTTGCAACCTCAACTGAATGCTTTGTGTTTGACAAGTGAACTGATGTATGGAAAATGGTGAATTTTAAGCCCTGTTACTTCCAGGGATGACTTCCTTTTCATTTGTGAGAAAATATGTATTTCCATAGAATATCCATGCTTATCTTGATAATAGACAAAGAACAGGAGGGAGGGTGTGAGAACATGGGCGGTAAGRGTGGGGCTCCGCAAAGTTAACAACAATTATTACAAGCTTGTAGTAAGTAAAATGTAACTAATTGCTGACCATGAAACAAATGTAATTGTACTTTGCTGTTTTAGGGACTGCAAATCATCTAAATGAGAGTCATGGAGGCTATGAGAATATAACAGTTGCTAAGGAACTAGGACCTCCTGACTTGGAGCTGTTGAGATTCCTTCACAATAATATAACATCAGGTAAACATCAGAATACATAGAGATTAACACATGTTAAGAGCTTGATAGTCTGGACGTTAAAAACAAACAAAAGATAACAGAATCTTTTTAATCTAAATATGATATGATAACATTTCATTTTCAGGATCTCAAGAAACAGACTGTATCCTTTCCAATACCAGGACAAAGTCCAAAATTATCATGATGGATTATTTCAAGAATGATTAATTTAGGCTGCGTTCATAATGTATGGCAGAGGGGGGGGGAGGGGGAGGGGCAGGTGGAACTGAGGGGGGATCGGGAACATTTTGGTAGGAAAAGGGGAGGATGGGCAAATTAACAGAAAAAGGGGGGGGGGGATGCACAATTTTTGGAAGAAACTCAAAGCCTTGCTTAGGGGGGATCGTATTTTTTTGCATGACTTTAAGGGGGGTGTTAAGAGTTATTCTGGACATTTGAAATTTTCACCTGGCCTCCTCTGTCATACATTATGAATGCAGCCCTAGACATTAGAACTACAAAGGGTTTTTAAGGGGTTTCTTGGAAAACTCTATGCAGTTCCTTTATTTGATATCRTGCTTCATTTTCATCATCAGTCAATGCATTGCTATTTGTGTGTGGAGATTAGTCCCTTTATTATTATCTACGCCATCTTGAAAGGTAATCAAGCCTGTGCATGATAGAGACATTTATCATTGTCCAAGGTGCTAAATAGGGTCTCTAWCATTACAAGGCCAGTGCCATTCTGGCTTCAATGCACAGGCATGGTAAGGCCAAGCAAAAAAATAAGTGTGTTTTCTGTTGCGTGACTGACCCTAATTTCCTTGCTGATTTTTGCCGACCCTAATATTTTTTTCATTCCCAAATGCACCACAGGGTTCTCAGTAAGCTCATTTCCACTACCGACCTCAATTATTTTTCTCATGCAACAGGAAACACATTCATATTTTTTGTTTAGCCTAACCTTTTATGATAGCCCAAGGAATTGTGAAGGGACTATTTAAAAAATGCACATTTTGTGTATACCAATGTCTATTCTATGATAAAGTATGAAAACTATGAGTATAAAATGGTATTTAGATTCAAATCTTAACTCACCATTCAGTCATTGATGCTGTTGTTGTTGCTATGGATTTGTTGAGAGAAAGAACAAGGTAGTTCTAATCTACTTGTCTACACTATTTTATGATTCATGATCTAATAAGTGTAGTGTGCAAGCCATACCTTACCATAAACATCCCAATGCAACCCACAAAAACCCTACCAACAACCTTCAGGTGACTGACACCCTATGATCAGCCTACTGACACCCTACCATCAGCCTACTGACACCCTACCATCAGCCTACTGACACCCTACCATCAGCCTACTGACACCCTACCATCAGCCTACTGACAACTTACCATCAGCCTACTGACACCCTACCATCAGCCTACTGACACCTTACCATCAGCCTACTGACACCCTACCATCAGCCTACTGACACCTTACCATCACCCTACGACACCCTACCATCAGCCTACTGACACCCTACCAACAGCCTACTGACACCTAACCATCACCATTCTGACACCTTTCCATCACCCTACTGACACCCTAACATCAGCCTACTGACACCTTATCACCACCCTACTGACACCCTA